AGACTACTTCGAAATCCTCTGGATAGATTACTGCCCTGATTGTGATCACTCTTGGGTTGATGTACAATGTGAATCTGGTATTCATGACTACTGTGATTTACATTTCTTTGAGTCTAAGTGTTTTCTTAAGATTTCCTCTTGTCCCTGATGTGATACTTATGATGAAGAGTTTCTTGGAATCCGCTTTTGATGATTATTAGGTTTGGTTTATTTAAACAGTTGTTTTGTTTTGGGGAATATAACCGGTACAGGTACTCGGTTATTGGTTTTGTTTTATGTTTTGTTTTAAGTATTGCTTTGATACTTGGTTTGTTTTAAGTATCGTTTGATTCTTGGTTTTACTTTATGTTTTGTTTTAAGTATCGCTTTGATACTTGGTTTGTTTTAAGTATCATTTGATACTTGGTTTTGTTTTATGTTTTGTTTTAAGTATCGCTTTGATACTTAAGGAGTTTTACCAAAGAGTATCAATTGATACCTTTGATTAGTTTCGTTCATGCTAGACATGAACAGATTTGTGTATTTAAAGACTGCCTGTTTCTACGATAGAAAAGGCAGACTTCGACAGACAGTATTTCAATATACTTGGTTGAACGGTTACTTCTTTGTTCCCCAGTACACCCTCGAAGCCTCCTTTAGTTCTCAGCTCTCGCCTCCTCTCTGGAAGAGCAGGCCACCTGCCAACTATCGTACTTATTACCGATAACGTGATTAGCACCCTGCGAACACGTTACAATACCAGGATTGGGCTACCATATGGGTGGTCATAATACACTTGTCACTAATTGACCAGCATCTAACCTCCTCAGTCTTCTCTCACTCTGCAATGTATGTATCCATAAATTCCCAAAGGTATTCTTTAAATGGCTTGTTAACTGCGGTATCCAGAGACTATGGACGACCATTACATCTGCTTGGAATAATCGATGGAACTATGTTACTCACTTGCAGAAAATCCAAAATACTCTCAGTAACATGAAATGATGCTGTATCCATAACCAGTACACTTTGAGGAATTCTAGGAAACTGGAGAGAGTGTTGGCTGGGATTGAATTAAATTAAGTTGGATTGGATTAGATTGAATTGAACTGGACAGAAGGGATTTAGAGAAGAGGTTTCAGTCCACTAGGAAGTAGGATTATCAAGGGCCGTGTAACGACCCCTGTCTGGATAGTTAGTTCTTGGCGATAGGGAATGATACTTCTCTTTCTGTCTTCTTCTATCTTACGATAGTTCTAGGCATCTGCCTACGTTACCGATAGTACAAGATCTTTGTCTTCTATGGGGAACGCCTATCGTAAGCTTTCTCTAACTTGTCTTCGTGAAGGACTTTTCTTGGTGTAACAATAACGGTTTAATAAAGATAAAGATCGTAAAGATGTTTTATATTTGTTAAAGTAATAAATAGGAAAAGTACTTAGAACAAAACATGAAGAACATATCTTCCTCGGCTGCCTCGGCCTCCTTATATAGTATTCTTCCCGCTCGTAGTCATGTGACTTAAAGTGGTCACATGTGCAAAACCAAATCATAACAAACTAGTCATGTGACCAAAGTGATCACATGCTCAAAACCCATGACCTCATAGCGAGGTCATGTGCAAAAACTCATAAACCAATCATAACACAATAACAAGTCATATGACTCGACTGAGTCATATGCGCGAAACCCATGACCTCATAATGAGGTCATGTGCGAAACATAAATCATATGCGCAAGGCTTACCCGCAAGGCACACTCACAAGGCATACTCGCCCAGCACACATCCCATGACTCACACTTCAGCCATGTGCGAAAGCATCACAAATCCCACACATAACAAATCATATAACTCGAATGAGTTATATGCGCAAAACAACAACATACCTGTGACTCATAACCATGTGTCACGTGAAAACCTTTTCCATGCTAAGCCACATTCGTGACAGGCCGAGAGAAGGTTCTCGGTAATGAAAGCTTTATAAAGTAATTTATTATTATACCCTGTTTCGTTGAATAGAACAGAAACACTTTTATTCCATTTGTGACATTCTCTTTGAATAATACTATATCCAGTATTTGCATGAAAAATGATTTTTGGCTTAATTCTCAGTATTCCGTCTGCGAAAATGTAGAGTATAAGTGTCGCTTGCCTTTTGTCTCACCCATTGCTATCTGTTTTTCCACTAACAGTTCATGAATCTTTTATCTTATAGGTCTTTCTATCCAGATTCTCAAAAGGGATACATAGTTCATCCAAGTTAAGATTATTACTTAAATGAAAGCATCCCACATCAGTGGTAATTCCAGCTCTATCAAAGGTATTCGTGGACTGGGAATTTCGCCTATTAAACTGCAGTCAGTTGATAACTAATTGGCGATACTCATCAGGAAGCTTTAATGCTTTGTTGGTTATTGCTTGGAAGAATATATTCCAACGGTTTTAAAAAGCCATTAAACCAACCACCAGAAAAAAACAAACATATTAGCACTCTCTTTGTAAAGCTTATTGAATAGCTCAATAGCTGTTCATCAGAACCACCCTTGTCTTACAAGCCCACCAGCTTGCCTTCATTTAATGAATGCCAAAAGCAGCTTTCTCTTCCCTCTTAGGCCAATTACATCGCCAAGTACTGGAAGAGTGGCGGTGCGATTTAGTCTTTTGTCGCAAAATTTCCTCCTGCTTTTCCCACCACTCATGAACTGTACTTCGCGGGATTTTCCAACAGGCTGAAGCTTAAGCAAAGGTAGGCCGCCAATATTCAGTTTCTGCTCTATTAGCTGCCACACAATGGTTTGTGAGAAAAGGCAGCACCTCAATCTTCTGCTCTTGGCTGTAACTTCGGTGAATGCGCTGAATAGGTCCACGAGGCTTGTAGACTCGGTCGCACACGCTCGCGCCGGGATAAAAGTTATCGCTTGGTAGCCTTCGTTTCGGAAAACTCGATTTTGCGCTATTATTCCTGGTGCCCTGGTGGCTACTATTCTGGGGCAAAATCATAAAATAAGAATGAAAAATATGACCACAAGCTGCTTTTGTTTTATCATAGCTGCTTTTGTCCAGGTGCATTCAGGAGCGGCTGTGATTGGAATGTTAAAACTAAGGTTACATTGACATATTATACTATTTTACTTTGGGCTAAGAGCTTGCTTATTTCTAACGCCATTTGCTTGGCGGATTTCCGGATAACAGCAAAAAATACGGTATTATACAAGTATAATTGGCAGGAACCTTGCTTGGCATGGTTAGCGCTTGCTATTTTCAACAGTTATCTATAATCTAGGCACGATTTAAGCCAAGGAAACAACCAGTTATGATATGATAATATGATATGGAGGTTCTGCCCCGGGGTGCACACGACAACTGGGTGCACGAGCAAAATGGTACATCAATTCAGGAGAGGTTCTGCTTGTTGCGCGGCTCAATCATGTCTTCACTAATTCTCTTCCCACAGTACCGCTAGTCTTTGAGCGCCCTAGCGATCGCCCCGGGGTTTAATGTAAACTCTTGGCGTTGAGGAGTAACAGCCAGTGATTTGAAGAAACAACAATCACACCTCCCCTCCCCGCCGCGAGTGATTTGTGAACGAGGCGCACCGAACTGGAGAGAATGCCGTAATGGAAAAGACAGTCGATGGTGACATTAGCTAAAGATTGGTCAGGTGATACGTTCAGCCAACAACCCCGGAAACCAAACGAAATACAAGGAATCAAGGAGACAAAAATTATCCTACTCAAAAACATTGCTATAACTCCGTCGTCTCATGCCTAACACCCGTGCCCTATGCCCTATGCCCTATGCCTATACCCACCCTCCCAAACTGGAGCAACAGACCAGAACTCTCTCTGCCCTATGTTGAACCACATGTTTCACCGTGCGCACACAAACAAATACCACCTCTAGACTGCCCAACAACCAGCATAACCCGCGCAACCACACGCCAACTGGTATGATAATCTAATAACGGAACCACCCACCAGCAAGAACATACCAAGCGTCTTTACAAACGGCCCCTATTCCTACAGATCCCAACCAATGAGCTAACGCACAGCGAGAAAACCCTGCCTCAGCGGAGCACCATCGTGAATTGAACGACATGCCATCCTCTTCCCTTGTTCCCGAAACCGGTTTCGCAACGGTCGGCCGTATCGTTTCGAGTTTTGAAGTCTTAGTTTGTTTGTCTCACACGTTATATATATGAGTACTCCAGGCCAGGTTGGTGATCCGGACACTCCCGAGGCGCTTGTGCAGGTGAGATATCAACCGAGCAAACGATTTTGCAGTATCAAAAAAATTCGAATGGAATGGATCGGTCCGCTGTGCTCAAGAAATTGTTTCTCGAATGTCTATCTAGGCCTTTTTGAGGGGCGGACGAACTCCGTTGTCAAAGTCACTTTTTTGATAGCATCATTGTTAGGTGTTGAGGGTCCTTGATATTGCCAGGAGTATGATAGTTTATGCTACGGATAATTTCAATATCGCCTTATCATATCCGTTACTATCTAAGTTACCCTGGATAACCCTATGCTCGTCTTTCTAAATATACATTATCTTTCAACTAGTGTTCCGGCCCCCTGGAATCCAGGTGGTAGCAACGGTCCAGGGTTTTCGTTTGTGCTTGGTTTTGCAGATGGGGGAACTGGACTCGTGAGCTGCCGGGAGAGGGATGGCCCCTGGTGGGGAGGGCCGGCGGACGTACTTGGTGTTGAGAATTGGTCTTCCACTTAGAGGTATCGTGAGAAAAGTGTGTAGGCTTCCTTCCCACTATTACGTATGGAGGGTTGTACGTGGAAGTGTGTATTCCACATCATGGGTTACGTCACTGCTATGGGGTATTCATATACCGTTCTTTCTCCGCTTAGCTAGACATATAACTTAACAAAATCAACCTTCCGCTGCACAACAAAAGCCCTCAATTCGTAACACTTGGCACCAGGATCATTCGAGTGATAGTTGATGTCCAGTTTGGTGCGAATCTAGGGGGAAGAGGTCTTATATAGTTAACTAGGGGACTTCAAGGTTTCCGCTAGCTCAATTCTCCGCTTCATCTTATCATACAAGAGGGACAGCAAATAGACCAGTACCGGAACCCTAATCCCCCCCAAAAAAAAACCGAACAAGCCGCCTCCCCCAAATATGAAAAGCGCAACACCCAACTCCAGCCCATCTCCACAAAACCCGAAAGGAAAAAAGGAAAGGAAAAAAAAATAAAACCACTCCTGCCCCATCAGCAGGCTTTCCTAGCGTAACATTTGGCCCACTTAAACGCTGTATTTTCCCTCCCGCACTCCTCCACAATTCCTGCATCGGCCCACATTCCGCCGTCTGTGATCTCCAATACCCCCTCCGCCAAGACTCCCGCCTCTCTCGTGGTGTACAATTCATCATACAAAAGCCTCCCAACCCGACTCGTCACGGTCGAAAGTTCATCACCAATACTAGTCGTAGGCATCCACATATCGCAAGTCTTAACCTCCGCCCACAAACCCCCTTCCGTCGGTCCCATAGTCTTGAGTGCTTTCAATATACCCCTCGACGGCTTGATCACACCCTGCGCGGCAGTGGGAGTGGGGAGAATGCGATTCGCGATGTAAGCCGTCGTTAATGGGCCCATGTTATTCAATAATGGGTCGACAATGGTAAGTTCTAGATACCCACTAGGCTTCAGTACGCGGTGGAGTTCGCGAAGGATTTGTAATATTTGCTGGTCGTGGGAAGTGCTTGAGGCCGTGGTCAGGAAAACGTGCGGGAGGGAGTGGGATACTATGACATCGATGCTGGCCGACGGGATAGTGGCGAGGGAGGTTAGGGCTGGGGCCGTTATGAATGTTAGGTTAGGGGGGTGGGTAGTTGTTGGTGGGGGACGGGGGCTCGTGGGGAGGAGGAGGGTGTGGATGTTGGAGGCAGGGTACGTTAGGGAGAGGTACCAGGACCAGTTCGCTTTTATGGGTTAGCCACAACGAATCAAGTGAATTGGGGGTGGTGATGGTACCTATTCCCCCGCCGTCAAGATCAAGTATTGTACCACCGCTGTTGAGCACCATCAAGTGATGCCCTGGGGAGAACAGTACCCTCTCAAAGGATAACCACTTCATCGCACTCAGGAACCAAGTCCTCCGTTCCAGGATACCCCTCAAATGGACAAACGATTCATCCGAATTCATGAAAAAGTCATCCGTCTCACTATCCTCCGCGTCATAATCAATCGCGGAGCTCGAGCAGACGGAAATCGACCCCCGTCGGACAGTGCCATACTTGGCGTAAGTGAAGAGGCGGGATGTGTTTGAAAAGGTGACGAGAAACTGGGTGAACAGAGTTAGAAGCGACACAGATGGTGGTCTTCTCGTAACCTCCTGAGGCTCTTGAACGCCTTCGCTCCGGAAAAGCAATCTTCCATCCTCCGCAAATATGATACCTCCATCTCGCCGAGTTGGCCGACTGGCAGAGGAGTCGGGTCTCACGGAAGAGAAACTCGGACGTTCACCCTGACTTCCGAATGAATGGCGCCGAGACACTGTTCCCGACCTCGAACTATTCGGTGATCTTGCTTGTGCCGAAGATTTAGGGACAAGGATGTAATCCGCCATAGTCCTCGCGTAACTCTGATCCTCCCTCATTATCAGACCCGTCGCATGTCTCTTCTCAGAACTTAGCCCTGAGCCCCCTGACGCAATAGTCCCTAAAGAACCAGCTCTTCTCCTATAGGAGAACAAATCATCCTCCTCTTTCTCCTCCAGCCTTGGAGCTTCTGGGCCCACCGGCGAGCCGACCGGTGGCGCCTTCCTTCCAAAAAACCTAAACCCGATCCCAAGCTTTGGCCCCAAAGACCTACTCGAGCTTCCCGAGGAGCTAGAAACACTGATAGTCCTAGAAGCCCTAAGATCCGTGTTCGAGGAGGGACCCTCAGTTCCGGAAGAAATATGCCTGAAGGGTTCCACCTTCGCTGCTCTCTCAGCTTCCAAGGCCTTTCGCAACTTCCGTTCCTTCTTTGCTGCCTCTCGATCCTCCTCCTTGCGCAGGTCGGGTTTATAAACTAGCCTATTCGGATCATTCCTCTCGAATATACTGCCCTTTCTAGCCCGTTCTCTGATCGGGGATTCGGAGGAGGTGGAAGTGGAGACTGAAGCTGGTGGGGAGGTACTGTCATTTGTCGCTGTTCGCTTAAGTGAGTTTTGGGAGGAGGCCGATCCGCCGGTGGAGATGGCATAGTCTTCGGCTTCGGCGAGCAAGTTCTTTTTAGCAGATTTATAGGCTTTTGAATCGATTATGCCAGCATCCTTTTTTTTTCGGAGGTCTTTATAGTCTTCGCGGTGGGATTGACTCTGCAGAGGTTTCTTGTAAACTAGGTGGGACATAATCCGTTGAGGGCGAGGCAGTATTCCGAGAGTTGTTCAATTTGCCGGCGATGGATGGTGGGGGTGAAGGGAAATGTAGGCGGGATACTTAATTTGTGCAGCAGTACGCAAGGAGAATGGATAAGTTAACAGATGGAACACGCAAAACCAGCTTATCTTCTCCAAACCTAATTTCAGAAGGGAAAGAGTGATGATGAAATATGAGAAGTTAGAGAGATGGGTAAAAAATCCTAAATTCTGAAGTTTGAAATGTTGCGGAGGGCTGGAATCATTAATAGAAAGCACCGGTATGTCAAAGATGATAATTCCCCACTGATCAAATACCAGTACCGGTAGGTGTGTCCCCGTCTAGCATTTACCTCTTTCTAATCTCCCCCCTCTTTCCCTCTATCCATCCCTCCATTTCACCCACCTTCGTCCCCGTGTCGACATCCCCCCACATGCGTGTTGCGCTCGAGCATGGCACGAGCACTATTAGTAGCGGTGGATGCCCGCTCCCAAAACGGCGGGACCGGAAAGAAGAAAAAAAAAGGTTGGCCAAAAAACGAGCCGCGGAACCTGCCAGTGTGAGGCTTTGGTGAATAAATTATCCCCACGTGCGGATGGAAACGCCTTTGATTTGTGAGGTTTGCACCGCTAGCCCGCCCGTTGTGCAACCATGTCCTTGCAGCCGGCGACACTACGGTACTCGAGTAAATGAATTAAATTTTTGGCTTGATTCTGTTTTCATTCTTTCTTTTTTCTTCCTCTTCGCCCAGTGCCCGGATCGGAGAAAGAAGCATTCCAGGGACCCAGCCCGCAATAGCCCGAGTGCGTGGGAAAAGGATGTCGAGAGATTGATTAAAGCTCCTGATCGAAGCGGTGGAACAGGGTCGAATGAACAGTAGTATTCTAAACACGGGGAGGTCCTCAGCATGGGATTCCGAAAAATGGGCTTTTTGATCGGACTCAAGCCTCTTCCCTACTCTGGTAGTCACATTCACGGATGATGAGATAGAAAGAACTGCGCTGTACGGGGTACCCTACTCGTACGAGCACTGATATCGTGTTGCGAAGTGCACCTCCTGCTTGCCCCCTCCCCCTTCCCCTCCCACTCTCGCCTCAAGGTCAGAAAGAGCGAAGGAAGCGATGAGGCCCACAAGGAGGAAGCACGGGTGCGACGCGCACAAGGGGCGAAATAGATGGGGTCCATTTAGCACGCACCAAGCCTTACCAAATCCCCCAACTCATCTATGAGGTTGAGTACAGTACCGGTATGATAGGGTCTCGAATACCGGCATTGTCTAACCATGTACCAAGTATATTTGTGAGGGAGGTGATCCAATGTTTCCTCCTCTTGAAATGTGGGGGGGGGGGGGGAACACAGCAAAAGGGGTGTTGTCATCCCTCTGAAAGGGTGGGGGAAGAACAGCCAGACCCTGCCCGAGGGAGCAATTTGAACGACGGAGCACACCCTTCGATTACCGGTACGAGATGATGCGATGCCGTGCGTTGTTGGTAGTACGGCCAGTTACGCCCAATGCTTGTTCTCTGACCAGGCGAGGCAGCAAACCCAAGGTTTGTCGCGCAAGGGGCAGTGATCTCAGGTGACGGCGACCCAATTGCCCGGGAACAGTGGTGCCTCCCAATGCAGTCACCATCGAGACTAAAAGAATCCATTTACAGTACAAGTACTGTACAAGTACGCCCCCAAAATTATGACAAGGCGCTGCTTCTGCAATTCTAAAAGTGCTTGCGAATACATGGTCATACATTCCACGACTTATGAAAAAGCCTAGTTGATTGATGTCTTGTGAATATACCGTGCGAGTACTCTAAAGGTCGAAGGCTGGACACGAAGCCCCACTCGCAGCGGTCAGTGGTGGTCAATGATTTCACGAGTTATGTGGCTCTCGAGAAAAGTGCGGTAGGAAGATACCGGGGCAGAATTGCCGAAAATAAGGCGGGGCGGACACAGTCGGTAGGGAAAGGGAATGAATGACGTACTGTATGGTACTTGTACTCGTGTACGAGTATGGACGTGGGTGCGGATGACTTTAAAGCTCCTGGAGCATTCA